TGAGGGCATACAGAGCTGAGCAAGTGGGGGTTCCCAAGGACCTCTGGGGCTAAGTCCCTTTCCCAAGGGACCCCTGTTTAAGAAACAGTGGAAAACAAGCCCACAAGGGAGACAAGCTCTCATATACTAACTTTCATTCATTCATTCACCCATTGATTCACTTAACAATTTGACAGTGTCTACTACTGAGTACCCCATTAAGTAGTTGCTCACACTAATCAAACTGTCTGGAACAAACAATGCTATAGATGTACTAAGGCCTTCTCCTCCAGTGGCCCTTTTGGTAAGGCTAAGGAAACGCATCCTTAGCCACTTCACGTTGGCCCCTGTCGTGCCCATCATCCCAGGGGCCTTTCTCTGGCAATGAACCAGAAATCTGACCCAAACCAAACAACCGTCTATAAAGGGGTTGGCACCACGGAGGATGCTCTGGCTAGGGAGTCCAGAGTTTGCACTCTGCAATTTCAGGGCTCACAGGAAGTTGCTGAGAGGCCAGGCTTGGGACAATGTCCCCTCCCTAAACTAGTTTCCTTGAAGTTAGATCTCTAAGACCTAAACTGTCAGGGTCCAGACTTCTATTTCAATTATGGTAAAATTTACATCACAGGGATTTATTACATTAACTGTGTTGCACAACCATCACTAACATCTAGTTCCAGAACATTTTCATCACCCGAAAAGGAACCACGTATCCATTAAGCAGTCATTCCCCAATCCTCCTTCCCCCAGCCCCCGGCAACCACTAATCTGCTTTCTGTCTGTATGGATTTGTCTATTCTGATGGACTCATACAATAAGTGACCTTTTGTGCCTAGTTTCTTTCACTTAGCATAATGTTTTCAAGATTCATTCATGTTGTAGCATGCATCAGTATTTCATTCCTTTTTATGGCCAAATATTCCATTGTATGGATATATCATACTTTGTTTACCCATTCACCAGTAGGTGGACATTTGGGTTGTTTCCACCTTTTGGTTATTTGTGAATAGTGCTGTTATAAACATTTGTGTACAAGTTTTTGTTTGAACACCTGTTTTCATCTCTTTTGGGAATATATCTAGGAGTGGAACTGCAGGGTCATATAGCAATTCTATATTTAACTTATTGAGGAATTCTAAAACTTCATTTTGATGGTTTCACCCAATGCATAGATTTTCAGTTGCTCTACTCTTTTTTTTTTTTTTTTTGCAGTACGCGGGCCTCTCACTGTCGCGGTTTCTCCCGATGCGGAGCACAGGCTCCGGATGCGCAGGCTCAGCGACCATGGCTCACGGGCCCAGCCGCTCTGCGGCATGTGGGATATTCCCGGACCAGGGCATGAACCCGTGTCCCCTGCATCGGCAGGCGGACTCTCAACCACTGCGCCACCAGGGAAGCCCCTAATGCATAGATTTTATCTAATAAGCTGCCTCTGGTTGGTAGTACTGCCTCCCCTCCTCCTACAACTTTTAATTTTTCTAATCAAAGTCATCACTACGGGTTAATTTTTCATCACAGGCAATCCCTGCCATAATTAAGTCAAGCTGACATCAGTCCAGTTTTTGTTAGTCCTTGTTTCTTACTGTGGGTTGCTGTCCATTTCGTTTTAGGTTTTAAAAAATATTTAACAGTACCAGAGGACACAAGGGAAGAGGGAGAAGGGACCAGAACAGGTAATCCTTAAGTGGTCACTGACCCCAAAAATTCTGAGTTCTGGAGTCTAAGAGCAGGGAAGACTTAAAAATATAAATCAGATTACATCCCTCTGGCCCATTTGGCCTTATTTCAGTTCAACACACCAAACATTCCCACTCAGGGCCTTTTCATTTGCTGTCTCTGCTGGCTAGAGTGCCCTTTCCCTGGTTCTTTCCATGGTTGTCAAAGCTCAGTTCAAATGTCATCTCCTAACGGAGAGGCCTCCCCCACTCATACCATCTAATTCTGCTTCATTTCCATCATACTCTAGCAGGCTACTGCCCTCGACTTTCTTCACTGCATTAATCACTCTCTGAAATCCTTATCTGCTTATTGTCGGTCCTCTCCACTAAAATATAATTTATGAGAATAAGGACCGTCTCTGACCTGTTTTCTGCTGTATTATCCCTAGTGCCCAACAGTGCCCTGGCATGTGGCAGATGCTCTGAAAATATCTGATAAATGAACAAAACCAGGGCAGGCTTTGATAGCAGATGCTACATGTCCAGGAAAATTTTATAAAAGAACACATGAAAACCTAACTTCAAGGGGCCTACATTTATATTATGGAATAATATTAATAATCATACAGTGGTGTAACACTGAAATAGAATTGAGAGGCCTTCATCTTTTATTTTCACCATTCTTAGCCATCAGCAGAATGGTTTTGAATGGCAAACATTTGCACAGCTAATTTTTTCTTGTTCTTTTACTCAACCTGTACCTCTTAACTGCTTTAGAAATCTCTCTCGGGACTTTCCTGGTGATCCAGTGGTTAAGACTCCGTGCTTCCAATGTAGTGGGCACGGGTTCGATCCCTGGTCAGGGAACTAAGATCCCACATGTGGCACAGCGCGGCCAAAAAAAAGAGAAAGAAATAGAAGTCTCTCCTTTCTTCATCCTTGAGGAATCAGCTCCACCATAAACTACATTTAGTCGACTTGCTTCTTCAATGTATAGATGAATTCATTATTCATTCATTCATTCAATAAAAAGGTAGTGAGGACCTAACATGTGCCAGGCACTGTTCTAATTGAACACAGCAGTAAAGAAAACAGACAGGGTTTCTCATTTTTAGTGATGGTAAAGGGCAAGAAACAAAAAAAGACACTGGAAATCTCTGAAAGGCAAAGCACGGAACAAGTCTCCTGGATATGGTAACCCTAGGAAGCTCCCCTTTTGTTCAATAGTGAAGGAAGAGAGTGAGATTTAGAAAGGGACTGGAGAAAACATTTGTTCATTCATTCGACAAATTATTATTGAGCATCTTCTATGTAACAGGTAACCTCCTAGGTTGTGCAGATGATCAGTGAACAAGATACACAAGGTAGTTCTTCACAAGCATATAATATCCTAGTGTGGGACACAATACACTAGACAAGAAAAAAAAATCAGTGATGAGTGCTCTACAGAGAAATCAAACAGGGTAATGTGACTGGCACTTTAGACTGGGGGAGGGGGAAATGTGAGAAGGTAACATTTAACCCAAGCCTGAACAACGAGGAGCAACCAGCCTTTCAAAGATTGGGCAAAGAATGTTCTAGTCACAAAGAACTGCCAGTACAAAGGGCCTAAGGCAGTACTGAGCTAGGAACAGCCAAAGGACAGAGGGCACGGCATATGTGGTTGGAGCAGAGGGCACAAAGAGGAGAATGATTAGGAGATGAGAGGAGAGGGAAGCAAGGGTCAGATCATGTAGGACTTAGGCTACTGGACTGAGAGGCTCCAGAGTGAAAACAGGGAGGCTAGTGAGGAGGCTACATAACCATAGCCTAGACTAGGGTGGTAGCTGTAAAGATGGAAGCACACCAATTGATTAGGAAATACTACTACTGTTACAGTGCAGTTTCCCTCTAAGTCACATGTGGTCTGTGATGTTACCCCATATCCATGTTGGGTGGTAGGGGTGTCACTTTGCCAGGAAAGCCCCCTAAAGCAAAGGGTGCTGTGGGGTGTGTGCCTGACAACCAGCAAAGTTTTAAATTCTTGAAACTTTGCATTCAATGAGCCACAGGTGCCAACTCCACAAGGAACCCTTTTGAAAATACGAAGAGTAGTTAAACCACTTGAGATAGATTTAGAGATTTAGAGCTCCACTTCTTGGTTTCACTTCTTGGTTCACTTCCCAGCAGCGGGTACAAATTAAGAAAATAAATTAATAAATCTCAACACTTAGCTTGCCCATCTCATAGGTGAAGTTAAAAAGGTGCCAGTGGGTGTAAAATTAAGGGATTGGGACTGCATTCAGCCTTCAATATTTCCAACGTCCATTTACCGAGGCCAAGACCCCAATTCTATAAATATGAAGGCGGGGGTAGAGGCGAATCCTTCCTTCCATGTCTCGACCCGATTTGATTTGTCACCAGGCCCAAGACACTCACTGTAGGGTGGTTGAACCGAAGCTTATTCTTAACCCTAGCACTTTTTAAGGAGACGCAGAATATCTGGACAGTGGCTGCAATCCAAGCCAAGCCAAAGGGAGAGGGGCGCTGAAACGCAGGCTAACGAGCCGCGTTTCCAACCTTGCCCCACCACAGACGGGTGGCGTCCGCCTAGTACCGCCCTCCGAGTCTCCTACTTGGGATTTGAGGATTGGATCTCGCCCGGCACCGCCCTCTTCCCATATGCGACGGGAAGAGGCACCCGGCTCCCTCGGCTGCACCTCTGCAGTTCTCTTGCAAAAGAGGAAGCAAGTGCAAATACTGCAAAGGTGCGCGAGGACCCTGGAACACGTATGCTCCATGGTCATCATACGGCCTCGGCCCAGATTCCACCAGTCCTACAGGACGGTGGGAAGTCACGGGATTGTCGCTACAGACCACCTCCTGCCAGCTCTCTGTCCCCTGTGTCCCCCACGGGTGCGCGCTCCCCTGGGCAGTCTGGCTGCACCTGTGCGCGATGTCCCCCGCCCCGTTACCTTGTAGAAAGTGATTGTATCCAGGGGAAGGGCGCCCTTGGTGTGCAGGCCGCTGCCGCCTTGCGGAGCAGAGAGGAGCAGGAGGAACAGGAGAAGGGGAAACAATTGGGAGAGAGAAGCGGCGCGGGGAACAGCGGCAGCCATAACGCCGGATTCTGGCAGTAAGGGATAGGAAGGCTGTAGTGGAGCAAGCGCGGAGCCGGGAGTCACGTGGCTAGGAAGGCGGGCACGGGTGCGCTCACGTGTACAGCCAGGCCGGCGTGGTGAGAGGGAGGAGCCACGTGAGGGGCGGGGAAATGGAGCTGCCGCGCGTGCGCACTCGGCGAAGCCCCAGCAGGCCTAGGGAGAGCGGGCCTGGCCGCGTGGCAGTGTGGGGGTTGGACGGCAGTGCCGGGGAGGCTGGGGGAGGGGAGGAAGAAGAGGAGGAAGAAGAGGAGGAAGGAGAGACTGCCGCGCACGCGCACTCAGCGAGGCTTGCTACCAGCCTGCTCTTTTCCCGTCCTTCTCCGCGTGAGCCGCGGCGTGAAGCGCGTGCTTGGCGTCCTTGCAGCTCTTCGATGGCTATCCTCTTTTTCGAAGATGACGAGGCCAGCCGTCATTTCTTCCTGCCTTTGGTCCGTCAGGCAGTCGGTTGGGACCTGTTGCTACCTTCGGTTAGTCTGTCAGTCTGACTGTGCTACTACCCCTCAGTCATACTCCTCTCCCTCCCTTAGCCACGACCCGAGGTGGTAAGTGAGACTCAGCTATTCGTCAGTATGGCAGTCAGGGCCACTCCTGCCGCTTCCCAGTCCGATATGAGACCTACTCTGTGGTGAGTGCCTCACCAGGGAGGCTCCAGGCTCCTATAAAAACAGGCTTCCGTGAAAGCTGAGTACCCGTCGAGCTGTGTCCTGGGCTCTCTGAAGATTTTTTTTTTTTTGCAGTACGCGGGCCTCTCACCGCTGCGGCCTCTCCCGCCGCGGAGCACAGGCTCCGGACGCGCAGGCTCAGCGGCCGTGGCTCACGGGCCCAGCCGCCCCGCGGCACGTGGGATCCTCCCGGACCGGGGCACGAACCCGCATCCCCTGCATCGAAAGGCAGACTCCCAACCACTGCGCCGCCAGGGAAGCCCTGAAGATATATATTTTTTAAATCCTAGTAATTCTCTTCAAGAGGTGTTTGTTCAGGATAGTTTACACCAGATCCTGGTTTTTGCCTGCGGTAATACAGAGTCAAGAGGAAAGAGATAGCAGTGTACTGAACAAACTCAGTGGTGGAAGGAGACGTGGGAATAGCAATATAACCATTATAGTCATTATAGTGTAATCGGTAGAAAATAAGACTATATTACAGTCTCGTGAAAGCACAGATGGAGATTCAGTCAGCCCTGCTCAGGAATGTCAGGGAAAGTTATAGACGGGAGATGACTTTTGAACTGGATCTTGAGAGAAGAGGAGGTGTTTGCAGGGCAAACACCAAAGGATATTTCTAGCAAGGGGGAAAGCATGATGAATCTGTAAAGGTAAATGGGCACGTTGTAAAGGGTCTTATCAAGCTAAAGGGTTTGGAGCCACCAGAGGCTGTAGCTAGGAGAGTGACGTTAGATTTGCTGTCACTCGGGAATAAAGGGGATGCATTGGAATGGAGAAAGCTGAGGTCAGGGAGGTTCACTGCAATAGTCTTGGTGGGAGAGATTAAGGTCCTGTAATAGGACCTAATAGAAAGATGAAAAGGTGAGGTTGGAATTGAGAAACTTTTATAGGGTAGAATTCACAAGACTTGAACAAATGGATATGCTTGTAAGAGAATAAATTATATAATGCATTATAAGGGGCTTAGCACCAAGTTAACCATTGCATGTGTCCAATAAATGTTTGTGTAGGTATGTATGTATGTATAAAGTAGTCATCAAAGATAATCGCCAATCTTGGGCAGCCAGTTTAGATAGAAATTTTGAGAGAGTCCAGTGTGTGTGTGTGTTGGGAAGGTTCAGAAAAATTTATTTTGAGTTTGCCCTAATAAATTATTAAAGAAAATGCACCACATAGACAAATGAATAGAAGTTAGAAGAAGGGATAATTACTGTGAGCTAAGGTGGTTAAAGAAAGCTTCATGTGGGAGGTGGAAACGGAGAACACTTTAGGTGGAGAACAAGTGAAAAAAGAGCAGAAGTGGAAATGAGCATGATGTTTTGGGGAATGACTGGCTTGCTTGAGGGAGTTCTCAAAACAGTAGATAGTAAGACAGTTTTAAGCCCAGGTAGGGGAGAATCTTGAAAATCAAATTAGGAAATTGCTATTTTGTCCTGTAGTCAGTAAGGAGCTAGTATCCACTTCTGAGTATATAAATGCATTGAGTACATCTACAGTAGTTACTATGATTGATCAGGAGTGACTTTTTAGTCATGATTAGTTTAGAAGTAGGTTTTGAGAAAAGTGCAAGAAGTGGATTGGTTGGAGAGGGAAGGGAAATATTGGTACTTTTGTTATGAATTGCAAAAGTGCAGTAATTATCTTAATGCTGCCTTTTAATAGTGCCCTGGTCCCAGTCAGTTACCTCATGGTATAATTAGATTCTTGGCTTCAGGACCTTGACAACAACAATCTACACAAATAAGCCAAGTAAAACTCTCCATATTTAGGAAGTCATAAAATCCCACACTTGACTCTGTTGTGGAAAATCAAAAGGCTCACCTGGGTGAGGTAGGAAGGAGGAGGTGACAAGGTATGTTACTTGAGTGTGCATATGACTCAATGTAGCAGCTGGAGTAAGGGAGAAGGAAAATGGCATGGTCTGCTAAGACAACTAATACATAAATTCTCCCATCTTTTTTTCTAACATCATCAAGCTGGTGAGCCCCCAGTTGCACTGACATCTTTTATTTCTCATATGCACAAGGCATGTTCCTGCCTCAGAGCCTTTGTGCTGGCTTTCTCCCTCTAGAACACTTTTCTTCAAGATATTCATATGGCCGGCTCCTTCATTTCCTTCAAGTCTTTGACCCAATGTCAGCTTCCTAAGATCTACCCTGACCATACTTAAAAAAAAATTGCTCCTCCCTGATACCTTCCTGCTTTCCATCTCCCTTCTCTCTGTTATTATTTTCTCCATAGCACTCTTCAGCTTAACATACTGTATAATTTGCTTATTTTCTTTTTTAAAATTAATTAATTTGGTTGCATTGGGTCTTAGTTGTGGCACACGGGATCTTTCGTGGCGGTACGTGGGTTCTTCGTTGCGGCGTGTGGGCTTCTGTCTAGTTGTGGGCTGTGGGCTCCAGGGCATGCGGGTCAGTAGTTTTGGCGCATGGGCTCTCTAGTTGTGGTGCACGGGCTCCAGAGCGCATGGGCTTAGTTGTCCCACGGCATGTGGGATCTTAGTTCCCCGACCAGGGATTGAACCTGCGTCCCCTGCGTTGGAAGGCGGATTCTTAACCACTGGACCACTTAAGGAAGTCCCTGCTTATTTTTCTAAGTATCTGTTTCCCGTGAGGGATGGGTTTGTTTTTGTTTTTATTTTTGTTTTGTCTTTTTGGTTCACTGTTATATCCCCAGCACCTAGAACAGTGTCTGGCACATGGTAGATGCTCAGTACATTCTTGTGCTGTGAATAAATGAATCAAGTCAATGAAAGAGGAACTATTCCATAGCTGTCTCTCAAAATTCCACTGGTCCTTGCTGCATTCCCTTCTTAGATCACATATTGTACTTTGGAGCTATCCCATCCCTTAGAGCTAATTGCTTTTCCCCTGCAAGGTTTTCGTGATATTAACACTAGTTTTTTTGACATAGATGTCTTAATGAACACTTAAAGCAGATTTCACATTAAAAAATTGTTATAGAAGGAAAATTTACTCCACAGTATGATTTTCTCCAAGCCCATCCTCCTTTAAGAAGCTTTCAATATTTTTTAATAGCAGGATTATTCACATCATACCAATTAAAAATATATTTTATTTATTTATTTGGCTGTATTGGGTCTCAGTTGCGGCACGTGGGGTCTTTTGTTGCAGCATGCAGGCTCTTCATCGCCGCCTGTGGGCTTCTCTCTAGTTCCGGCGTGTGGGCTTCAGAGCGCTCAGGCTCTCTGGTTGTGGCGTGCGGGCTCTAGAGCATGCGGGCTCAGTAGTTGCGGTGAGCGGGCTTAGTTGCCCCATGGCATGTGGGATCTTAGTTCCCCAAACACAGATCGAACTTGTGTCCCCTGCATTGGAAGGCAGATTCTTAACCACTGGACCACCAGGGAAGTCCCAAGAAGCTTTCAATGTTTAATAACTATTTACTGAACATCTTTTACACACCACATACACTTCTGGAGGCAAGGGTTACACTGGTGAACAAAATAGATGTGCTCCCTGCAGTCCTAGAGGAGAGACCAACATTAAATAAGTATACAAATAAATATATAATTACAAATTGTGATGATTTCTAAGAAAGAAAAGTTGAGGGCTTATGAAAGAATATGATAGGGGGAATAAATTTGCATTGAGGTGCATGGAAAACCTCTACAAACAATTATATTTGAGCTGATATAAGACCTAAAGCATGAATGGGATTCAGCTCTCAAGGAACTTACCCTTGATTGATGAAACAAACATTAAATAATTATATAAATAAATTTAAATTACACATTACTATGTTAGGAAGCATTTTAGGAAAAAAACCTAGTATGTGCAAAGGTTCTAGAATGAGAAAGAGGGAATTCCCTGGCGGTCCAGTGGTTAGGACTCTGTGGTTCCACTGCTGGGGGCCTGGATTCGATCTGTAGTGGGGGAACTAAGATCCCCCAAGCTGCATGGTGTGACCAATAAAATAATACAGAATGAAAAAGAGCTTGAAATACTTGAGGAACAAAAACAGTTCCATTCTGGAATCTGTCTTTTAGTAAAAAAACATCAGCAAAGAAGGAGATTATATATGCGGGGATGTAGGGATGTTTACCACAGAATTGTTTGCAGAACGAAAAATAAATAAAGGAAATTAAAAACAAAACCTGAAAAAAGCCTACATGTCCATCACGAGAGGAATTGTTGGATAAATTTTCTTATGTGGAATACTATACAGCTATCAAAATTGATTAGAACTATTTATATTAAAGTGGAGAGATATCCATGAAATAACAGGTGAGAACAGCAATGTATACAGAAATATATGATCCCATTTTAAAAAACCTACCATACCACTGCAACAACCTCTGTATATGTGTGTGTGTGTGTGTGTGTGTATAGAAGTATATATATATATATATATATATGTGTATATATATATATTTGGGTGTGTTTTAATAAGAACAGAGAATGATGTAGAGAAATATACCAGGCTTTTTGCATTGGTTACAGTTCAGGGGAGTGGAGAGAAAGAAAATAAGACTCTAATAAAAGGAAAAAAGGTTATTATGGAATAATGTTGAGCAAAAATATAGAATATAAAATACTAGCTATAGAATTGCTACAAACATGTAAAAATTGAATATGCATAAGGACAAAGACTTAAAGTAACAAAAGTAAAACTCATTTTGACTAGATGAGATTGCAGCAAACTTTTTACTTTAGATTTCTCTTATTTCAATATTGTTTTTTCAATAAAGTAACATTAAAAAAATGCATAGAGATTTTAACATCCAGGGATCAGATCATTTCAGCAGAGATGTTTTTCTTTCTCCTTTTGTCCCATGT